CAATGTAGCCAACGTAATATAATTGAATGTTCCCAACAGGGAATTTTATTTTTTTACCATTGGCAACATCGACCGCATTCCTTGCATATGGTCAATTCTGTGTTCAGAGGAATGACCTTTAGCTTAATTTAAAAGCTATTTGGCCAGCACATTATATTTTTCGGTTTCCACCAAGATCAAGGGACTCAATTAAGAGTATCTGAGTTGTCTCATCCCTTGGTCTAATTGTTTTTTTTTCTAGGTTATATTTCCAGGTGTATTTTTTGCTAAAATGAGTTTAGTAGGGTGTTAGTACGGATAGACGTTACAAACAAAGGTAAGACTTTTCACGCTTGGGGGCAGCGGCCAAGCGACTTTGACAACCCAGTAGATGCTACCTCGGTATAGGAACCCAGGAAGTGTTATTGGAAGGATCTGTAAAAAGAAATAGATAGAAATAAATGTTATAATATTATTTTGTGGTAGTCCATAAATTTTAATAGTATTTTTATGGTTTTTTTATTAAGGTTTCTCAGAATAAGTTGTAGGTTTGTCGGTAATTCTAATCCATTTTGTCCCATTTCGAAGTATATGTCGCCATTGATTGGGCATTCTAGTAAAATGTGTGTTAGGTCACCCACTTGTCCGCATTCGCAGTAGGGGTTTTCTAGTATACCTATTCTGTGTAGGTGTGCGTTTGTAAGGCAATGTCCTGTTCTTAAGCGCATGATAGCTGTTAGGTGTCTTCGATTTTGTATTTTGTTGGTATAGAACCACGGTTTATTCGGAAGTTCGTCGACTATTTTTCCATACCAGCTCCCTGTTCTGGGAAATGTTTTTAACCATTCCTTGTTGTATGCTTGGTAAAGTTCTTTTTTTAATTCAGGTAGTATTTCTGTCATCTCTGGTTGAAAGTTTAAAGGGACATTAAGGTTTACCCCAATATTTGCTAGTTGGTCTGCAACCACATTTCCGTGGATTTCGTCGTGTCCTGGTACCCATGCTAATATAAAGTCAAAATCGTTTTCTGTGGCTATTGTAATAAACCTTTTAGTGGCAATCGATATATATTGGTCTTTTGATGAGTATTTATTGTTTATTAGTTTTTCAAGGGCACTAGCAGAGTCTGTTAAAATTAGGTTACGTTTGATATTTTTAGAGATTGCAATTTCTACACCCTTGCAAATTGCGGCCATTTCTGCTGTGCATATCTGGAGATGGTCTGGGAGTCTTGCCGAAAATCGAATATCGTTCTCAGGCATATAGATTCCTATACCCGTTTTATGTTTAATTTTTGATGCATCTGTATAAATGATGTTGTATTTATTTGTTTTAAATTTTTCGAGTTCTGCTAAAAAATTTATTTTATTGTTTATATAATTTTTTCTTAAGTTTAGATTTTTATTTTTAATTTGGGCAAACTGGTAACAATATTCGATTTCAAAGCAAGGCATGAGATCACTTCTTCTAATTTTATTTAAGTATTTATTAAGTAGGGGTGTTACTTGGATGATGTAGGGGTATTCTTTTGATTTCCAATATGTGTTTGGTTTTAAGCAGTCTTGTTTTAGCATTGCCATAATGGGAATTAAGGGGTGAGATTTAAATTGAACTATTTTTGATAAGAATTTGGTTGTTAACCATTTTCTTCTTTCAGATAATGGGGGTTCTGCACATTCTGCAAGTAGGGCGTTGTTTGGAGTGGTTTTCATAGTGCCTGTAATAACCCTGAGCGTTTTCTTCACCGTTCTCAGTCATAATTAAGGTTATGTGACATGTGCTTTTTGGTTAAAATGCCGGTAATGTTCAAAATTACCAAAATATTATTAAATTCCTTTTTGCGGTATATCCCACTTCTGATTTCTGTAGGATTTTTGTCTGGATGGCCTTCTTAATTTCAAATAAAACTAACTTAAACTTTAACAAACGAATTTTTACTTTCATCATAATCCTAGAACAGAACAATCTCTATCACTATCTACTTTATCGACTGTCACCGTGTTGCCGGTTATCGACATACAGTGTTGCCGGCTCTAATAGGCCACAATAAGGAACTTTACATTTTCTTTTTACAAAAATTTATAAATTTTATAAAATAAAAATAAATTTGTTATAAAAGAGACCCAAAAATCATTTATACGAGTATTATATTTTTAATCTTTATATTTAAATATATAATATAATATATAATTATGTTTTTGTGCTTTTTGTGAGTATTGAATTTAATAGCAAAAAAAAAGTTTACAGTCTCAGGTTAACAAAATTAAAGTGATTTTACATAAAAAATAATATAAATATGGCATATGCCAACGAGAGGATTTATGGAAAATTTCACGCTCTACAAAAAACATCTGAAGGTCAAATTTGACCTTAAGAACTTAAGTTCTTCAGATCAACCGTTTCAAAGATATTAGCGATCAAAAATAACACTAATCAAAAAATTTCAAATATTTTCCAATAAAACTACAAAAATATATCATATACCTATATGATATATTTTTGTATATCCAATAAAAGTACAAGTCAGGTTCCAGCGCTTGAGAAGGCACGACGCGATAGTGAAAGCTCTTAAAACGTAAAAGTTTAAAGATTAAAACCAACAATAATTTTTTAAAAAAGTGCAAACTAATTATAGTGAAACAAACTATTTTCATAGAGTGCAAACTAAAATGGTGTAACGGTCATTGAGGAGTGAAGTGTTAAGTGTTAAGTGTTAAGCTGATATGAATGAGTGCCACCTGTCATTGGACGCTTTTTACTGGACAAGCAAGGGAGGTCAAACAAGAGGGGAGGTGACCATCTGCAAAAAAATTGATAAGTTACCTTAAGAATATGCATGACCTAATACAAAATCTGCAATTTAAACACGGCAGATATCTTTGAAACGTAAGAAAGGCACACGGCGTAGGGCAATAAATCTGTCAACAACAATTGCGTAATGCAATCCCAAACGAAACCAATAATAAACACTAGACTCACAGAATAAACTAACACATTAATCATATATGATTTTTTTTTACTGCGTTAGGGTTATATATAACCCTAACGCAGTAAAAAAAAAGCCTAATAACCAAACTCTACTAGATTTGTAAACATTAGATAACAGAATAATTGCGCTTGTCATTTGTTTAACTAATAAATAAATGCAATACTTAATTTTGGAATTTAAGAAAAAAAGACAAAACTCTACCACAAAACGTGCTTGGGACAAAATTTACGCAAACTTGAACGGAAGATCATTACACTACTAACGACAGACTTACCCGTCTACAATCACAAACATCCCCGCGACCTGTTAATGGGCAAAACCATTACCAAAATAGTAAGAGTAGCCCAATTAAAATACTGGGCCCACGTCACTCGTAGGCAACGCAACAACATACTACAAGCCACCCTTAAACTAGACCTTACAGACAGAAAGGTCGGGAGACCATGCTTCACATAGCACAAAACATGCACTTCTCATAAATTAACAAGACCAGTTGGGAGCAACTAAGCAACAATAAAAAAATTAAAAAATGAAAACAACTGACACACTTTAATAAGTGCAGGAACTATCTGACCAGGACACGGACAATGACAATAACGACCCTGCTTAAAATACCCCATAGAGACCCTGTTCAAACCGATAGATATTTGTATCGGAATGTATGGTGTTTCTATAGGGTGTATCGGTATGTATAGCTAGGACCCATAGTTGGGATTTATGGTTCAACCATAATGGTTGTTCTATATATAGGGATATCCACCCTTGATTTATTTGCTATTGGTTTCAATGGGGAAAATACACATAAATGTAGAAATTAGTTTCCCCCATAGAAACCCATAGGTTTTAATAAAATTTTGTCAAATGTTTTATGGTTGTTCTATAGGGATATCCCTATATGTCCTTCATTGAGTTATTTGCTATCGGTCTCAATAGGGAAAATGTAAAAGTTATGGTGTGCCTATAGGTAATTTCCTATACATTTTCTATCGGGCCCTATCCGGAAAAAAACATGGAAAAAATGCACATATTGAATCCGGTAGCGCCCGATAGATTATTTTATATAGGTCTCTATGGGGTATTTTAAGCAGGGCGAACAAGACAAAGACCTCGACTAGGAAACTACACTCCTGCAGCGAAATAACAACTACCCTACTCCAAATGGTAATCCCAAATGTTTGGAGTAATACTAATCGACTGGTCTAAGGGGATTCCGCGTCGTACTTAGTTTTAAGTCGGCGTAATTGTTCCCCAAAAACCAACACCCTCCCGTCCCTCCTCCTATACCCTACTGGGCGTATAGCATCGGCTCGGCGAACCCGAGAATGGCTATTAAAACTATTCGCATCTCGAGCCCCAAATATGGGACAGTACGGAACGCAATGGATATAAATTTGCACCCAGCAAACACGGGTGAAGCCGTGCAGTTGCTGGGGGCGAACAAAAATCGGCGTAAGTAAACAGGCCTGTACGGGGTCCGAGAGTGATGATGAAATGGGGCTGGTTATACGTCTCTTATACTCATACTCATACTCCAATAAAAGTACAAAAATATATCAAATATATGATATGTTTTTATAGTTTTATTGGAAAATATTTGAAATATTTTGATTAGTGCTGATATCTTTGAAACGGTTGATCTGAAAAACTTTGACCTTCAGATGTTTTTTGTAGAGCGTGAAATTTCCTATAGATCCTTTCGCTTGGGTGTTGAGAAAACAAACCATTCCAAAGTTATAAGAATTCAAAATTATAATATTTTTGTTTTTTAATGTACCTACTATAAACTTTTCAACACCATTAGATGAAAAAAAAATTGTTTTTTTAAACACCCTAATATATATATATATATATATATATATATATATAAATAAGATCTACAAATGAAAGGTTTGTAATTTGCAAAAAATTGTCTCAAGTATTTTTAATTGTAACTCAGTGAGAATGATAATAAGCCCTAGTTATATAGATAAAACGGTATAATCAAAGCAAAATTGTAATCTTAAATGAAGTAAAAACAAAATTATAATTATTATAAAATTATAAAACTAGAAATCATAAAATGCAAGATCTAAATATTGCAGTTTTAGGAGCCGGTGTAATAGGCATAACAACTGCTGTAGAATTGCAAAAACAATTTAGAAATGCAAAAATTAACGTGATTGCCGATAAATTTGGCGAAGACACAACCAGTGCTGTAGCTGCAGGTATTTTTCGTCCAGGGACCGGTTTTATGGGGCCCAGCAAAGATATTACGCAGTAAGTATTTTAAATATAAATATATATATTTATATATATATATTTCAAAGCATAAGAGCATTCACTCAACGATAAGAGGTTATTCGGCATATGAAACTTCCACCTGTGTTAGTTAAATTGGGTTTGTCAGACACTGTCTGGAGAATACGTACTACTTAAACAACGAAACACCATAGATTCTTTGACTCAAAATAAATCCATTTAACCCATAAAGAAGGGATTCTCTGTGTTTTAACCCATATTTTTTAAATTCTTTTACAAATATGTTTTTTGTTTTTTTATATCCAAAATTGGTTCCTTTAGCCGCAAGAGGGCTGTAAAGTGAAACATTTACTCTAGTTTTCGACAATTTTGGGAATATATACTTGGGTATATACTTACAGGATGGCCGATAAGTCGCTTTCCCATTTAAAAAATTTCTTTTGATTTAAAAATTGAATCTTTAATTTTATTATTGTAGGGTGCCTTTTTCTAAATGACAGACAAGAATACATTAGAAGTAACAATGAAAATATTGCAAGAAATCAGATATGCCTTGGAAATCGTTTTTCCTAGTTAATTTTTAAAATTTATTTTGAAAACCACAATAGATCTTTAAACAATGCAGAGATAAAAATGCCGCGTTTTAAATCTCTCCTTAAAAAATCAGGTTAAGGAGGACGCGCAATGAATCGACTTGGCTTGGCGAACTGCTTTGGATCGGTTCTGATCAGACCTTTCGGATCGGCTCGGTACAGCTATAGCTGCATATGCATATGCTAGCATGCATATATGCATGCATTGCAAAATTTTGATTTTCGGTAGAATATTGATGTCTATCGGTAGATCGGTAGAATTTTTCAGAAATCGGTAGATCTACCGTTAATTCGGTAGGGTTCGCAATACTGAGCACACACCTCTGAGTACATAAAAACACTGTTTGGCTTTGGACCGATCTCTCAGAGGGGCCCTCTAGCAAATGCATATATGCATTTGCTAGAGGGCCCCTCTGAGAGATCGGTCCAAAGCCAAACAGTGTTTTTATGTACTCAGAGGTGTGTGCTCAGTATTGCGAACCCTACCGAATTAACGGTAGATCTACCGATTTCTGAAAAATTCTACCGATCTACCGATAGACATCAATATTCTACCGAAAATCAAAATTTTGCAATAATCCAAAAATATAACTTTTTTAGAATAAATTTTTCACAAGTATGTGATTAAAAACATATACTTACAGTTCATTTTTGTTTATCTGGACTCGTGTTTTTTTGTTAGGTTGGTGGCTTAATAAGCCAGGCTTATGCCAGTTTGACTTAGTATTTTTAGTATTTAAAAATGGTACTTCTGCTAAAGAATTTAATTAAATACTTTGACACTGCCAAATTGACAATATTTATTGATAATTTACTTGTCCATTATAAATAAAAAGATAATTATGCCAAAAATAATAGCAACGAATTCGAATGTAAAGCCCTTTTGAGGACAAAACTTCATTTTGATGAAATTATGCCAAATGCCACAATGAAAGAAAAAGTACATCGCCTTATGGACATTTTTGGAGTAAAAAAGTAACGAATTTAAATTCGTTACTTTTTTACTCCAAACCAATTGGTTTTATAAATATTACATCACACATTATTTTCACATTATTCACCAATGGACAACATTTACGTTCACAAAAAATTTTAATTTCTGTTATATAAATTCTTTTCAAAGCGAAGATTATTATCCGCTAGGAATACTTTCTCTTCTGGGCCGTAAAGCAACCTATATTTAACTACTTTTTTTATATGATTTTACTCATCCGAGCACCACCAAAGCCAAATTAATTGTATTTTTAACTACGAATTTCAACAACTCAACTTGACAACTGCACAATGTAACCTACAATAATTTATACATAACCACAATTATATTTATAACTAGCTTAGTTTGTTTTAATGAATGCGACCAACTTGACAACTGTATTTACCAACCAAGAGTTTTTTTTGGTCCAAAAAGTTTTTTTGGTCCAAAACCTAAATTTCCAACGTTGCCGCAGTCCAGATAAAAAAAAATTAACCATGGTTAAGTATGCATACTTAAGTATATGATTAAAAATGTTTTTACCGACATCATTTGTACTTACAAAAGGCGTACTAAGACGGTATTGCAGATTTCTATTTTTGTGGTAAAAACTGTTTTTACCGACATTATTTGTACAATATTCGTACCAGGGTGGGAGGAGGTGATATGTCTCTACCCTGCTGAAAATCCCGCATAAAAACTTATAAAAAAAACTTATAAAAGTATGAAACAGCAATTTCTGATACAAACTTTTCAAATTCTATAGGTTTTTAAGAGACACTACTTTTCAACTCTGGTCAATACTAATTAAACTTTATCAGTATTTACGCATAAAGTTATATAATATTTTATGAGTATTTATGAGTTTTTAAGAGACATTACTTTTCAACTCTGGTCAAAACTTATTAAACTATCTGTATTTACGCATCAAGTTTTATCATATTTTATGAGTATTTATGAGTTTTTAAGAGACATTACTTTTCTACTCTGGTCAAAACCTATCAAACTTTATCAGTATTTACGCATCAAGTTGGCGCATTGACGTGGAACCTGTTTTAATCCCGGTGCACAACAAACTTTTCCCATTTATAGTAAAATAATTATTGCATAGATTAACTTCAAAGAATAGAAAATCTAATTAAAATTCAAATAAAACCATTTCAACGTCACTTTTGTGCGTTTGTGGCGACTGTGCATTTTGGCAGAACAGTTGGCAATACTACAGTATTGCCAATCGTTCTGCAAATTATTATAATAATGCTGTAACCAAGATACATACACCTTAACCCTAAACCACAACAAATAGACTGATATCTCTGGTGGAAGGGGTAAAATATTATGTTAGTACACTTCCAATATTACTGGCGCTGTTATCGATTCCTGGAAAATGTGTACGACATACACACTGTTGCCGTTCGCGGGATTTTACCCCAAAATCGGGTATTTTCGTCATGCCGGCGGGTAATATATTAAGCAGGTATTTTATAAATTTTGATCAAAATCCTTACTAAAGAAATTTTTAGTAATGTGGTTTAGGGCTGTAACGTTCGGGTTTTGTTCTTGGAGACGGCTGGTCGTTTGCGACCCTGGAGGGACAAAATCGAAATCCAAGCACAAAAATACGCTGGTTTTTGTCAAATATACAAAATCTACAATAATAATAATTATTATAATAATTTACGAAGGATTTCCACGACGGATGGGTGAAATATTTAAAGAAATAACAGTGCATGGTTGGGACTAAAATGGAGTCAACACCGAAAATTTATTATATTATTTATTATCTGTAATTGTATGGGAGACGAAATGAAGAAGTGTACGTATGAATTTTAAGTGAATTGTAACAATATTTAGGAATTGGACGAAAACAGAAAAAAGTATAAAAAAGTGACAGTGATAAAAAAAATTAATATTGAAAAAGAAGGGAGCGGCTATAGGATCCTAGACTCGCCCTCCCCAGTTAAAGTAAAAGTTTAAGCTGGCCAAATCCCGGAAGGGAAAAGCCAAAAAAGGAGAAGAAGAAGAATGCTGTAAGAAAAGATGTAATTTTCGTTAAGGAGAGTAGAAGACTCTCCTTGAGTTTTCGTTATCTTATGACACTGTAGGTAAATTTTTAACTTTTGAAATATCACAGCTAAACGCTCGGACACGTAAACATAATTTTTGGTCGTAGATTCCAAATCCGTGCTCGGTTTAGCTGTATCAGGTCTAAAAAAGTTTTTCCTATTGGAAATCCGATCCGGGAACACACTGTATACTGGTATATTATAATTTGTAAAATAATATAATTCACCTCTTGTGCCAACAGTTTTATGCTTTTTATTTCATTTAATATAATATCCTCAATTATACTCAGCAAAAAAACATTTCAAATTTCCTAAATTATCTAAGAATAGTATATTCTGTAACAAGTTTGGAATACAGCATATTCCGCTCGAGTAAAGAGTTTGTCACACGAGCCGAAGTTGAGTTTGACGGTTTTACGAGAGCGGAATATGCAATTCCAAACGTGTTTCAGACTATACTTTTTCTACGTTTCCAAAAAATACCATAGAAAAATAATTTAATTGGAAGAAAGTGAGGTTGGATCGGTCTAAAATTTGTTAGATATTAAAAACAGAGATGTCGCCACGAGTGTTTATTCTGTCATCAGATGATAGAATATTTCATTCTGTAACACTTTACGGAATATATGTCATTCTTAGATAAAAGTGATATTAGACGAGTCAAATTCCGTATTAGGAGTAGAAAAAAACCTTTAGGGACACCTGTATCTTTTGATCAATTAACTTCAAATTTTGCAAGAATTTGTTATTTTTTAAATTTGGAACTGATTTGTGGGTCCCGCCAAATTTAATTTTTAAAAAATTTATATAGGGTGTTTAAATATATACAGGGTGTTTCCATTATATTTGAATTTTGACCTGATACAGCTAAACCAAGCACGGATTTGTAATCTACGACCAAAAATTAAGTTTACGTGTCCGAGCGTTTAGCTGTGGTATTTTTACCTCCCTACAGTGTAATTTGTTGTTAAAAGTTAAGTTGTTATAGAATATATAAATTTCGTTGGTAAAACCTTAGGTTCTTAGTTGACTCGCCATCTAACGAACAACGAACGAAATACTGACTTAGCTGGACGCTTGCTTCTGTGCTGTAGAGATAGGCAGGGCCGGCCCGAGGTACGGGCGAACCGGGCAACCGCCCAGAGCGGCATAATGGGGGGGCGGCATTTTTACGATTTGTTAATGATAATCAATTTTATTCAACATACTAAACATTTTTCGATTGGCGATTTTTTCAAGAATTACGCTCGAGAAATGCAGTTTAGATAATTTAATATCTTTGTTAGAAAAATTTAATAGAGGCGCTTTCGGAAGACGACCCTGGCGCCCTCTTTCATTCGTTTCTTCAATCACATCCTGTAGTTTTCTATAATTTTGTTTGACAAT